AATTATGGATTAAATTTATACTTATTATCAATTGATGAAGGAATTAAAGGATATAGAGATGATTCTTTAGAAACAGTTAAATAGAATTAAATTACATATCAATTAGATTTAAGAATCTTATCATATAAAGAACTCTTCAATTGGTCTATGGATGAGGTTGTTGCATAAATTGGTCTTAATAATAATTGCACATATTGTGGAGTATTTAGGAGACAAGCATTAGATAGAGGTGCAATATAATTAGGAGTTGATAAAATTATTACTGGACATAATGCAGATGATATGGCAGAAACATTTTTAATGAATCTATTAAGAGGAGATATATTTAGATTACCAAAATCAACTGCAATTATTACAGGAGATGATGGAGATAATGGAATTGCTACATTACCTAGATGTAAACCATTTAAATACACTTATGAAAAAGAAATTGTTATGTATGCTCATTATAAAAAACTCATTTATTTCAGTACTGAATGCACATACTCTCCTAATGCATTTAGAGGACATGTTAGAGAATTAATTAAGAATTTAGAAGCTATAAGGTATAATCATATATAATATTTTTAATAGACCTAGTGCAGTAATTGATTTAATTCATTCTTGTGAATAATTAGATGCTCCTAACTAAAATTAGAAAATGCCATAAAAGTAATTATGCTAAAAATGCAATTTATTATCATCAAATAAAATTTGTAAGGCATGTACATTACTTGAATCATTAAATTAAGGAAGAGCAAAATAAATTTTATAAATTTAAGATTGATGTTATATATAAATCTTCAAATAAATATTAAATTTTTATAAATATAAAAAATAATCATAAAAAACATAAGTAAAATAAAAAGATTATAAAATATGATAGTTTCCTTTTTATAAAATTTATTAATATACTCTATTCTTATAATCAATTTTATAATTGATTGATACGAAATTACTATTAATCAAATTATTTCTTCCAATTTATAAGGGAAATCATGATTATTATGATAAATAAGATAGTTAATATTAAAGGAATTTAATGTGTAAGAGATATAATTTAAATTAAGTAGAATTATGTATGTAAATAAATAGTTAGATAATCTCATTCTTTTGTAATTTAAAATATAGCAATTTTAAATAAAGAAGAGTAAATATTTTTTAATTATAAATAAGCTAATTAAAAATTTAAAGTTTTTAAAATTAGTTTCATAAAATATATTTAATGCAAAGAACTTGAAAAGTTATACTCAAAAAACAGTAAATAGAAATGTATAAAATTTCAATAAGAATCAAAATTTTCAAAGAATAAATTGAATATCAATTTTATTATGATAATTTTGTTTTATATTTAACCTCTTTAAATATTTACTTTTTTATCTATTAATTAATAATGAAGGAAATATATTTGAGGTCTATTTGATTTATTTAAAGATACATTTAATTAAATGTCATTTTATTTATCTATCTTCTCTTAATTATTTATAAACTCCAGATATTATACACAAAGCCCCAATAACACCATTAATACTTAAAATAGAATGAAAAACAAAAAAATCTATTATTATTATGTAAATCATTTAGGAATATGAATAGTTGCAAATTTTATCATAGGTAACCATTGTTTAAGCTCTAAATTTTATAACTTAAGCTAAAAGGGTAAAGGTACTAAATCCAATAGTATAGAAAAAGTAACCTTCAAAATACTCAAATTTAGCAACATATTATTACTATAAACTAGATAAAAATAGCATAATAATATTAAAATAAGTAACAGTAACTGATGAAGGTATTTCAGTGCCAATTTATTTCATTATAATGAAAGCATAGGATTAAATAATGCTACAAATCAAAATACATAAGCATCCAATTACATGTTAGATTGGATCCTTAGATTAAAATGAAGGATTTGCAATTAAAATCACACCTATAATACATAAAATTGAATTAAAAAGTCTTGATTTAGTTATTCCTTCTTTATTCATTATACTAACCATTATTTAGCTCCATATAGAATTTGTACAAAACAGAATTACTGCCTCTGATAAAGAGATCAAGTTTACACCATAAAAGTAGAATAATGTTCCAATACCAATGCCTACTTGAGACCTAATAATGTGAGGCATTTTTTCTTTTGGATACATATTTTAATTAGGTTGTACAAGATTTAGAGTGATAAAGGATATAAATGAAGTTACAAACATGAATTACGGAACAACAGCAAAATGACCACATTTGTAAAAAGTAGCCTATACAGCATGAAAAAAGTAAGCAATCAACATATATGCTATTGCCATTTAAAGTGTATGAGTATTTTCTAATTGGTTTATAGAAATGGTTATCTTTTTTAACATATCTTAGAGTTTAATAATAAATATAAATTTAATTAAAATAGCACTGTTATAAATATTATATATATATAAAATGTCTTATTCATAAAAAAACTTTCTAAATTAGCCATTCTATTCTCCTGCAAAATTTGAGAATGATTAAAAAGATTTGATGATTTCATAATTGAAGGCTGAAAACTTTGAACTTAAACAAAATGATAGAGATTATTAAGAATTGGCTACACATTTGAAATCATTAGAGCATAGGTGAAATCATATATAATAGTAGATATAATATGTTACATGAAGAGAAAATGAGAAATGAAGTAGAATTTAGAAATAGAAGTGATTAGACATTAAAGACAATTGCTAATTTGAGAAATGAAATTGATAATTTGAAATCCTAGTTAACTGATAAACATATTGAAAATTAAGAGATGAAAGCAGAGAATTTGGCATTTAAAGAGATAACAGAGCATAGAACTTAAGAAAATCAAAGAGTAAAAAGTGACATTGCATTATTGTAAGAAAACAATAGAAAATTATATGAAGAAAAGCTTAGATTAGAAACAGAATTATAAGCAGCTAAAGATGAAAGAAAAAGGTAATAAATAATAACATATTAATAGATTATTACATGATAGAGAAATATTAAATAATACTTATGAAGATGTATTGGATAAATTGAATGAAAAAGAAAAGTAGTTTTCTTAATTGTAGACTGAATATGATAATCTCGAAAAATAGGCATTAATTTATAAGGCTGATGTAGAAAATGTATTTATTATTATATTGGAATAATTAGATTAATAATGAAGTGAAATCAAAGAATGAAAATCTTAAATATACAAGAATGTAATATTAAGAAGCTTAGAATTATATTTCATAATTATAAAATGATTTAGAAGAATTACATAAGTAGAAAGAGAAGTTTAAATAAGAGAGTTTACTTTATTAAAAAAACTATTAGTAAGAAGCTGATACTTGTATGGAATTAAATGCTTAAGTGATTTAATTAGATTAAACAGTTAAACATCAAGAGAAAACTATAATTGATTAGAGAAATGAGATTGAGAGATTGAAGTNTACAAGATTTAGAGTGATAAAGGATATAAATGAAGTTACAAACATGAATTACGGAACAACAGCAAAATGACCACATTTGTAAAAAGTAGCCTATACAGCATGAAAAAAGTAAGCAATCAACATATATGCTATTGCCATTTAAAGTGTATGAGTATTTTCTAATTGGTTTATAGAAATGGTTATCTTTTTTAACATATCTTAGAGTTTAATAATAAATATAAATTTAATTAAAATAGCACTGTTATAAATATTATATATATATAAAATGTCTTATTCATAAAAAAACTTTCTAAATTAGCCATTCTATTCTCCTGCAAAATTTGAGAATGATTAAAAAGATTTGATGATTTCATAATTGAAGGCTGAAAACTTTGAACTTAAACAAAATGATAGAGATTATTAAGAATTGGCTACACATTTGAAATCATTAGAGCATAGGTGAAATCATATATAATAGTAGATATAATATGTTACATGAAGAGAAAATGAGAAATGAAGTAGAATTTAGAAATAGAAGTGATTAGACATTAAAGACAATTGCTAATTTGAGAAATGAAATTGATAATTTGAAATCCTAGTTAACTGATAAACATATTGAAAATTAAGAGATGAAAGCAGAGAATTTGGCATTTAAAGAGATAACAGAGCATAGAACTTAAGAAAATCAAAGAGTAAAAAGTGACATTGCATTATTGTAAGAAAACAATAGAAAATTATATGAAGAAAAGCTTAGATTAGAAACAGAATTATAAGCAGCTAAAGATGAAAGAAAAAGGTAATAAATAATAACATATTAATAGATTATTACATGATAGAGAAATATTAAATAATACTTATGAAGATGTATTGGATAAATTGAATGAAAAAGAAAAGTAGTTTTCTTAATTGTAGACTGAATATGATAATCTCGAAAAATAGGCATTAATTTATAAGGCTGATGTAGAAAATGTATTTATTATTATATTGGAATAATTAGATTAATAATGAAGTGAAATCAAAGAATGAAAATCTTAAATATACAAGAATGTAATATTAAGAAGCTTAGAATTATATTTCATAATTATAAAATGATTTAGAAGAATTACATAAGTAGAAAGAGAAGTTTAAATAAGAGAGTTTACTTTATTAAAAAAACTATTAGTAAGAAGCTGATACTTGTATGGAATTAAATGCTTAAGTGATTTAATTAGATTAAACAGTTAAACATCAAGAGAAAACTATAATTGATTAGAGAAATGAGATTGAGAGATTGAAGTCTATGCATATGGAATGTTTAGAAACTACAGAAGAATTAAATCATGAATTAGAATTGGCTAGAAGAATTAATGATTAATTGGAACATTAACATAGAGATGTATTTCATTATATTATATAGGTTATGGAAGAATTGGATAAATTATCATTAACAGAGGAATAAGCTGCTATGACTAGGGCTACAAAATATAAGGAATTAAAGACTAAATTAATTATGGGAACTAAGCAATTATAGTAGTTCTCATCTCCATTTAAGAGATTTTCAACAAACAAAAAATCTTAGCTGAAATAATATGAATTTTGAAAGTGATTTATTACTATAAATATTTTAATTTTTAACAGCTTTTGAATATGATTGAAATACGAAGACCACTTTCAGAAAAGAATTTGGGGAATAGATCTAGCAAAGATTTGCAAAGACCAAATTCATCCAGTTCACAATAGAAATAGAATTTGTAAACAATGAAAAGTTCAATATAATTACAAAAACAAAATCAAAACTTTTATTCTAAATATTTTAATAGTAAGGATTAAAAAGAGAATATTGAAATACGATCCAATGTTGAAAGAAATCCATCAGCTAAATAAAAATAGACACCTTAAGATTATAAAAAATTATAAGATAAACTCCTTTATTTAGAAAATAAAATTTCATCAATAAAATCTCATATTGATAATAGTTAGAGATAATCCAAAAATAATATAGCATCAAAGTTTTTCTCATAAAATACATAAAATAATCAGAATTCAATCTAAGTATAAAAGTCTGTGTAAATTGATTTTACAAATAGAGGATAGAAAGAATAAAGAGAATAAACTCCTTAATAATAATAGAATAAATTAAAGTCAAGTACTCTAGTTAATAATAATAATAATAATGAATATAAATCTTCTATTGAAGGTACTATAATTAAGAAACCAAGTTTATCTACTTTTGTTACTTAAGTTAAAGCTCCTTTATCTGAAAATAAAAATAACTTTAAAAATCTAAAACCAGATTCTGCAAAAGCTGGTAGTTCAATTAAGACAAATTTTAAAAGGAAAAATTCTTAAGAAAAACCAGTAGAATCTTTATTTTTATATTATATCTCTTCAATTATTAAAGGATATATGTAACCTGAAATAACAAGGCCAATTGAATTAATTAGAGAACATTTACTTTAAACTATGCAAGCATCTTAATTTTAGAAATCAGTTAAAATAATAACTAATTTTGAAGATAAAAAAGTTAATTTACCTTCCACAAATAAAAAAACAATAGTATTTGATTTAGATGAAACTTTAATTCATTGTAATGAATCAACTTAAATTCAAGGAGATGTGATATTACCTATTAAATTCCCATCTGGAGAGATTATAGAGGTATGATAAGAATTAATATATTAGGCTTCAATAAATATTAGACCTTATGCATAATAAGTATTATAGACTTTAAATAAATATTTTGAAATAATAGTTTTTACTGCATCACATTCTTGTTATGCAAATGTAGTTATTGATTATTTAGATCCAAATAAAAATGTGATTGCTCATAGATTTTTTAGAGATAGTTGTATGTAAACAGAAGAAGGAGCATATATAAAAGATTTAAGAGTAATTGGAAATAGATCTTTAAATGATATGGTTTTAGTGGATAATGCAGCATATTCTTTTTGTCTTTAACCATTAAATGGAATTCCAATTATTAATTATTATGATAATAAAATGGATTAAGTAAGTTTTTGTAGTAATTATAGGAACTGCTATATTTGCAAAACTATTTAATGTCATTAAGAACAGTTCGAGATGTTAAATAATATAATAGTTAAAATCTGAAATTAGATAAATTTACACAATTTACAGATCCTATTGATTTATTGCAATCTCTTTATAAAGATTATATCCCTTGATTAGTATCAAATTATATAAATTTAATTAAAGTTCTTCATAATTTTTGATGATCTTGTTTATTATTTAACAATCAATTTATAATTGTTGATTCAATTTCAAAAGTCTATAAATCAATATATTACTGATCTTGATTATTTAAATTACATTCAAGAGAAAATCAAAATTGATTTAGACTTTTAGATTTAATGATATGATTATTGGATAAATTAATTAAAATAATTATTGTAAAAAATGGAAGATTTTGAAATATTAGATTTTCTTGAATTATAACAAGAATAGTAAGGAATAGATAAGACAACAAAATTTTTACAAAAATAGATATAAAATGGTTTCAAAATCAGTATAGTGATTAAAAAATAACATAAGTTTGCATTAGCTCCTTTGCAATAAAAGAAAAATGATTTATTCTCTAAATAACACTAACCTATGGATGTTGTATAATGTAATTTAATAATAGACTAGTTAAAGTTCTGAACAAACTGAGAATAATGATAAATAAGGTTCTTCAACATCTTCACATTCTAGTGTCAAAATGAATAAGAAATTAATTATTCCTCCAACTTAAAATGAAACACCTGAATAGAATAATGATGATTAAAAGAGTGAAAAATCTGATGATGATTAAATTTCCTTATATACAAAGAAAAATTGCAATTTTGAACATTTGTTAAAAGACAATTTATTAAGTCAAAAGATTCAAACAGGATTATCATTTATGAGAGATGGTAATTAGAAAATGGCTTTAGAGAAGATGATGGATGCATATAGAGAAGGAAATGAGAAATTAAAATAATGTTAAGATTAATAGTAGATTTCTGTATTAATAATAATTTGTATTTAATCACTTTGTTATGCATCTTAACTTTTAATGGAGTTTGGACAATTTAGTGAATCTTAAAAGTAATAATAATTTTTTGAATAATAGATGTTTAGATAAATGTTTAAATTAATTCGAAATCAATGATTTTGATTTAAAATGCAAAATATACATTACAAAGGCATAATGCAACTTACTTAATAATTAATATTTATAATGTCTAGATAATTATAATAAAGCATTAATTTAATATGAATAAGTTAACTGGAGATTAGAAGTTGCTAAATTATTAGGTAAAATCTCATTTGTTTATGCTTTATTAAGTAATATTAAATATATATATTTATTAATAAATAGATGATTTTACTGATGCAAAGAAGATATGTTATGAATGCTTATAAATTTTTTAGAGTAAATTATCACATACTGATCCAAGGATATATGATACTTATTATACATTGGGATGTATTTACTATCTTGAAAAGGATTATGATTTTGCATTGGAATATTTAAATTAATCTAAAGAAGGATTCATTAAATTGTAATAAAATTATCACATTATCAATTTCAAATAGATATGGAGAATAACATTTAAGCATAATAAGGATTCTTAATTTATAGGGAGTGATTAAACATTTATAAGGAAATAGTATTGATGCCATGGAACTCTATGAATAGATTGTTTGCTTATATGGGTATATGAACATTACTAAATTTATAGTGATTCATAAAATATTGGATTAGCTCTAGTATTAAATAATCTAGCCTTAGTATATTTGGATAGGATGAAATTTAAGAGTGCCAAATTGTCATTTGATAAGGCTACTGCAATTTTGAAAGTATATCTCAATGAATAACATCCTACTTTTAAAAGAGTTGAGAAGAATAAGAAATTATTTGTTCAAGCTACTTTATCTTATCTATGATTTTAATGATTTTAATTTCGTAATTTTTTCAAAAATTATATTAAAAGATTTTCATTAACTATGGTATAAATATTTCATCTATTATACAAAAGCCAAAAGCAGCAAAGACCAATAAATCTAAGAAAATTTCTAAGAAGATTGCAGACAGAAAAAAGAATCCTTTGTTTGTTAAGGAAGCTAAGAATTTTAGAATTGGAAATGATGTTCAACCAAAGCGTGATTTATCAAGATATGTGAGATGGCCTCGTTATATCCTTCTCCATAGATAAAAAAAGATTTTATTACAAAGAATTAAAGTACCTGCAGCTATTCATTAATTTAGCAAAACACTTGATAAAAATTAAAGTATATAATATATTTAACATTAGGTTCCAAGGTTTATTCTTTATTGAAAAAATATTCTCCAGAAACAAAGACAGAAAAGAAATAAAGATTAATCAAGGCTGCAGAATAAAAAACATAAAATTAAAAACCTGATTCAAAAAAAGTAAATGTTCTTAAATTTGGATTAAATCATGTGACAACATTAGTTGAAACAAAAAAAGCCAAATTAGTTTTAATTGCATATGATGTAGATCCAATTGAATTAGTAGTTTGGTTACCATAATTATGCAGAAGATAAGAAGTACCATTTGCTTTTGTTAAAAGTAAATATATAAAATATTTATTATTAGATAAGGCTAGATTAGGAGCTTTGGTTCATTAAAAAACTGCTACTTGTGTTGCATTGACTGAAGTAAGAAAAGAAGATTAAGCTGAATTTGATAACTTAGTATAAGATTATATAATATATTAAGGCTAGAGATTTAAGATAACATTATAATGAGAATCATGAATTATTGAGAACTATTGGAGGAGGTCAAGTAGGAATAAAGTCTAGACATTAATAAGAGGCATTGAAGAAAGCATTAGAATTAGAAGAACTCAAAAAAACAAGTTAATGATGTATATTAATATAATATAGAAAAAATATTATAAAGAATAAGTTATCATATTTATTTATTGTTATATTTATTCATTTTAAAAAAGAAAGATTAGAATATATATATTTTAATAAAAAAATGAAATATTTGATAATGGAAATACAAAAGTTTGTTAATAAGATGACAATCATAAACTCATTAAATTATTTCATATTGTATTAGATGTTTTTTCTTAAATGAAAAGTCTTATTTTTTTTTTTGTTACCATTTACCTTCATTTTCAAAATAAAAGAAAGGTCCTTTAATAACTTTTTCATTTTCTTCATCTTTCTAATTCATATAATTTAAAATTACATATTAATAATGTTTATCTTTCTTCATCCATAATCCATGTTTAGTATTGTATAACCATTAATTTTTTATCAATTCTCTTGCTGCCATTAATTATTCAGTAGGTTCTTTATGATAATAAAATACATAGAATAATGTATCACTACTTAATTAACTGAATACTGAATTTGGTAGCATTTTATATTTAGGTAACAAACTATTTAGATTCAATTTTTCTTTAAATGTAGGAGGCTAATAATAATCATTTTTTTATGGCCTATCATTATAACTAAAGTCCATCATTTTAATTTTATAAGCAGCTGAATTTTAATCTACTAATTAAGCTTGTTAAGTTGCAGCTTTTTGATCAAAAGGCTCAATTGTTAATTTATTGGGTTATAAGATTTTATCATTCCAAACTGTTTGTACCATTTTAGTTTAATACAATTGATTTATTAACTAAATGATTGATATTAAATATACTTGATTAATATCCTATTCATGTTCTGGATTATCTAAATTTTAATACATGATATCCAAAAGCATCATCAATTTTTACCATTTCTTATCCTAAATGAGAATTAGAAGCATTTTACATCTATTACTAAATGCATTAAATCTTCATTTAATTATTTCATTTTATCAATTTGATTTTGAAGAGTTTTTAATTTGATTTATCTGTCTTGGCCTCCTTGAGTTTTTCTTTTCTAATAATGGAATTTGATTATACTTTTTTTATGTCTTGATTGATTTCTTAAGCTCTCTATTCAAGCATATTAATTTGATCCTTTAATTATGTTTGGCGACTTTAAAATGAGATGGCAGATTATTAAATCATTAATAAATATTATGAATATATCAGAATTGAATTGATTGCACTTTTGTTTTGAATATTAATTTTGGTACAACAAGCTTTTCATAAATAAATGTAATTGCAGCATTTATGATAGCAATAATGCCTAATAGAGATGTCCATGATTCAGGCATAATGTATTGATCATCATAACTCTAGAAAATAAACTAAAAATATTAATATTTAATATTATACCCCCATAATGTCGTCAATATAATCAATCCTCATCAGAAGAAACACAATGGCAAGAATGAATAGAAATATTGTACTTCCTATGAAATAAAAATTGGTATAGAATGGTTTTCTAAAAGGTTTTCCATTTGAATAAGCCAAAGCTATCATCAAATATTAGAAATTTCCAAAAATAAATAAAGTTGTATTTTCAAAACAAATCTTCATTGAATCATCATTTAAATCTTCTTAATTTAGTTCTTCATTTGGAATAAACCATGATTATTTCAATAATAATAGATAAACTCCCAATTAAAAAGCTAATTAAATAATAGTTTATCCTATAACTGAACCTAATACAGAGAAACTTATTAATGATGATCCTGGTACAAATTTATTTATTTTTGCTGCTTAAACCAATCCCATAGTCATACTTAATGGGAATATTGTAAATAAATCATTGTAAAGATATTGATTATCTGTTAAATTTGATTATTTTAAATAGAGTATAGTAACTTAGATAAATTAGATCATTGAATATAATGCCATAAATTTGAAACAACAAAATGAAGTAGTTAAAGCTGCTCTACCTTATGCTAATAAAATTGGAACACATGATATATCTTAAATTTGACTAGTAAATGGTGCAGCAATTGAAGCTTCTGCTTATGATAAAGAAATTCCTGCATCAGCAGTTTTCAAAGCTCCACAATCATTAGCACCATCTCCACAGAATCCTACTAAAGGTAATGATTTATGTTTCTATAATTATTATATTAAATTAGCTTTTTCTTCTGGTCTCATTCTAGCATAGACAATAGTTTTTTCAAGTATATTATTAAGTGTTGCTTAAGATCCATATTTATTTAAATGCATAAATGCACCACCAGAAATAGCTAATACATAATTTTCATTTTCATTCCATGGTTGTTCTTCCATGAAATCTCCGTCAGTATAAATTTCACTAATATTATCAAGT